TGGGCTCCAGGAATTGGGACCTGGCGGCTCGGCCTCAGTGCGTAGGCGAAGACATGTGCTACTACCTACACTGAAGGCTGTTCGAGCCGTAGTGGCTGAATCAAATGGAAAAAATGGAAAATGAAATGGAAACTAGGGAATATACATAGGAAAGTCTCAAAATGAGGCGTCTCTTTGTGGAAGGCGATTATTTGAACATTAAAAGCAAAAGCTCCGCTCTGCAAGGAAGTCTGGGATCCGTCTGGACAACCATGCAGCTTGGCTCTGGCAACTCTTGGCTTGGCTGTCTTGACACTGCATTCTAGAGCCATCAGGTTTGTATTCTTCAGCTTGACGGCCTTTATTTTGGGACGTTACAATTTGGTTGTGGTGCTCAGGTGGATTTCCAGGACGTCCCTGGCTTCGTTGAATACCTTCGTGGTCTTCCTAGTGGCGCTACTGTGCTAGTCGCATGGGAACACAAGAAGATCGGCCAGCTGGCAAAGGCAGTTGATCCGCAGGGGCTGGCACCCGAAAGCTGGAGTTGTTTAGTCATCTTTTTGAGTTGTTTACTGACCTCAGTACATGCAGAGAAATGGAACAAACTGTCCTTCAATGAGTTTGAGATGGGCTGGACAGGAAAAGTATCCGGATCACTGCAAGTCAGCGTGGACGGAGCCAAAGTACACGGAAGGGGCCTGCTACGATGTAATTTGGCAGTTCGTGCTCTATCGCGACCATGCAGATGAGAAATGGCAAGCAAAGGGCTTCTCTCACTTGCACATGGGCTTTGCAGGACAAGGGTCCTCCTGCAAAGAGGCTTTCGAACCTTTTTCCAACCCCACGAGCTGGCTCGCAAAGACGGGAACAGTAGGGACGGATGGAGCCTTCCTAAGTGCCGTGCTCGGCTTTTGCTCTATCCTCCTCATGTTGCTAGGGCGCTTCCATTTGCCCAGCCCAGTTCAAAGAGGAAAGGAACCCTTGCTGGATAGGAGCCCTGTATCTGAGAATTACATTACCGTGTTTTGACTTTTTCTCACAGATCTCGCCCTTGCAGTTGGTGAGTTCTTTCATGGGGGCCTCCTTTGAAGGAGACTGCTCCCACGTGCTCTGAGCCAGATTTGCAACAAGTGCCTTTGTAAGGAAGTCAAAGAGGCCTATGTATAGAAAGTCTTCCAGCCTCTGTGGCCGCCAGACTGAGAAATCAGGAGGCGACTTAGCTCTCCGCCTTTGATCGGAGGCTTCCCAGACTGCACTTCCATGTGAGCACGAAGGCCAAATCTGCTAAGTGCTCTCTGTACTTCGTGCCTGAAGTGCGGTGCACATGTTGCGATATCCTGCAGTTGAGGGACTGAAGAACAAGGTCCTCGACTGCAGCAGCGTTAGGTGCGCGTTAATCCATGAATCATCTTCAGAACCTGCAAGGATGCTTCAAAGAGTGCCGTCGGCTGCGTGCATTCGTCATTTGATCTCCAACGGTCTCACTGCTGTGTCTGAGAAGTTGTTGAATACGATGCACGTTTGGGCTCGTCATTCTCATCACATTAGCCGATGGAAGTGATGCATCACATTACGCTACCTGTGATGAGCTTGCAGGGTGGCAAGACAAGGAAGGCAGCCACGGCTCAGTTTGAGAAAAGCCTTCTCTTCCAGAGACAGGTAATTCGTCACGACCGGTCCAGCAGCAGCCGCCTTGCCAACGCACCACTTCAAAAGCAAGATGTTCGGGAGTCTGTCAAGTCATGCTGGCAAGCATAAGCAGAGTCGCCTGACTCGCAGAAACCAATGGCTGCCGGCCTTCACTAGCAAGACTGATCCAAGCCCAAGGCTTAGGCTATGGCGTTGCTGAAGACTAAAATTCCAGCATGTACTGCTACTGTGCCTCACAGGCCGATGGCTGAAGATGTCAAGGCTGCTATGGGCAAGATGTCCCGGGTACTGCGCTTCTCAGCAACAAAAACAGCTGCTGGGGCTGCGCAAGCCATGAGCCAACGCGGCACTGAGGTATGGCGAAGGATCGTGCCAACACGCAGTCGGCTGCTCAGACTGAGGCAGCCAGCAGCTAAAGAAATTGCAACTGCTGCAAGTTTCTGAGGTTTGGGAAGGCGTGATGCTTTGTTGCTCACCAGCTTAGCAGCAAAGCTTCCATCAAAATGCCCAATACCGGCGGAAGGTCAAGGAGCGTGCGAAGCGACTCAGCTTGAGCGGTGCCTGTCTCAGCACACATCCTTTGTGAAGGATGGCTTCCGGATAATGAGGACTCATAACGACTTCTAGCTTTTCATTAGTGAACATTAGTGAATATAGATATTCTGATCATTCGCGTCATTGCTTTCTCGAGGCTCACAGACTGCAAGCCATGCGACCTCACAAAGTGCTCCTGATGCAGAGGACACGGAATCCAAGGCATTTCAACGCTCTGCAAAGGCTTCAAAAGACATAGGCAGCGCAAAGGATTAGGAGCAGATAGGGTTGGAAACAGGAAATTGAAGGAGCGGGAGAGCTTACAGTGATGAGAGATCCACACCTTGCACCACTCGTTGTCCGCGCAGGTGAAGCAGCTTATGGATCTGGGATTCTCTGCCGCTGCCCGAGAAAGTGCAAATCGCTGGAGCCTTCTTAGTTGTGTAGGCTTTGCGGGGTTTTTGAGGATGTGGAAGGCGTTCATTTGGAGTTATGCCACTTGAATTAAACGCCAAGCTGCCTTTAGAGCTGATCCCAACAGTTGTGGTATTCTATCTTGTCATTATGGTTACTTCCGCAAATCTCTCCGTTCGAGGGCTGGTAAGAAGTGAGCTGTTGAGGACATGTGGGATGTGTCGAAGCGGGTTTCACGATCATTTGCATATCATTCCCCCACACATCCTAATTGGCAGTCTACAGCGTCCCCATACAATCAGGAGGCAGCATCTCGACAGGCACTGTGGGCTACTCAGATTACCGCTCAAGTGCTGGCACTGACTGCAACCGTATAGTAAGAGTCTGCGGTGTCTTGCCATTGGAATTTTTCGAGTGGCACATGATCATGACGAGTAGTGGCGATAGCGTAGGCGGGAATGGTAGAGGCTGTTCTGCTGGTGTTGGTGGCGCTCGCTGGTGTCACTATTCTTGTGCTAGTGATGCCAGTGTCTTTGCCCGCTGCCTTGATTATTATGCCAATGTGCGTGGCTGCCAGGTAAGTCAAGGACTGTCCCATTGTGAGTGAACGTCTGTGAACAACAGCGGGATTTCTCAACTAGGCGCTTGCTGTGTGCACGCACATTTTCTCAGCGAAATTGCTCTAAAAGGGTTCAGGGAGCAGAGAGAGTTACCGAGGCAGCTGTCTTGCCTGCCTTGAATACTAAGTTGGAGCCACAATATTTTCCCCAAGACTGGTCGAAACAAAGATAGAATCGCGCGTGGTGAAAGACATGCTCGCGTGGGCCAACACAAAAAGTGCCAAAAGACAAAGACACTGCCACTTATATGCGCCCGCTATCCCGCGATGGGGGCCTCACAAAAACAGCCCAAATTGTGACGTGCTCCCATTTGCCAGATGGGATGTTGACTGCTGCCCAGGAAGCCTTGGTGATACCAACTGCTGTGCTCCAATGCAACCATGTTTTTTAGTACAAAACACCTAAAACGATTGGATCCTCATGTAATTACCAAACATTTGCAAACCTGAAGTCACTCAAGCGCTGCGTTCCTCTGATGTATGTATGTAAAATATGCACAGATGCATAGACACAGATATATGTATGATACCCATATCTATGTATACACTTTTTATGTGTATATATATATATATGTACATACGTGTCTGGTACACATATACACGTACGTAAAGATGTTTCATCCAAATTTCTTTACGGTGCTGAGGCGGGCCTCGGGCGGGCAGCTTGAAGCGGCCGGGCTTTGGCTGCCCGAGCCATAGAGCAGAGCAGTGCAGCTGAGGAATCCGGTGCACAGGATTAATTAAGTGAAATAAAAAATAAAGTGATAACAATAACAATCATAGTAATAATAATAGGATTATAAATGTGGAGACTATAATTGTTCAGCTTTTGCATTTCTGTCTCCCTAAAAAAGCAACTGGAGATGTAGGTATCCATGTGTGTCCGCGAGCATACAGTGCAAGGATTCCATTAAAGAACCCGAAGCTAAGACCCACAAAGGACATTAGGCAGCCATACGGTGAGAGAAAGAGAGAGCTCGGGCTCCCAATGACCTCCAGGTTGGATGAGCGCAACGCCGACGAGGTTCTTGCTGCAGAGGCACTGAGGGAAAATTGTGTGTTCTCGATGCAAAAAAGGGACATGGGACAGCCAGCTGGAGCAGATCATGGTGCTTCCTTCCATTTTTGACCGTGGCGGCCGTGCTCTAAAGTGCATTGGCGCAGCAAGCTTCAAGCTTGCGCTGTTCGAATCAAGCTAGTGGACCATCGATCCTGGAGACATTTTGAGGATTCAATGAGTTGCAAGCAAGACTACTACGTGCTCGACAGAACGGCGAGTCGGGAGTGTTTTGGTCTGGCTTGCATTTGAAATGAGCTTGCCACAGCTTGATTCAAAATCTGAACCTCACGACAAGTGACTCACATGAGCATCAAGCTGCGGCAAACAAGGGTAAAAGCCGGGGCCCAACATGCTCACCCTGGAAAGATTTTAACATAAGGACCGTAAAGAAAAATGCGCGTAGTACACAAGAACTAGATGCAATGGAACATATGTGCACCTTTGCGTTGCACAGACGAAGCTGCAGGTAGCTGCACAGGAGGCACGGCCGGCACTACAGGTCGGAGGTCGTGCCCGTGCTACGATCCCAGCTGGTAGTCTGAGCAGGTTTCTCAAAAATCAGGGATGCCCCTTAAAAGGGGTGCTTTGAAAGCAGCCTATGAGTCTGTTGTATGTAAGTTGCCTTTCCCACTAGTCTTACTTGCTTTCACGTTGCTCACTACCCTAGCTTTCATGCTAAGTTGGAACCATTGCAATAGAAGCCTCACATTGCGCTCATTTTATCGTCATGGTTCCTATTGCTGCTGATACACTTCTGTGGTCATTCTCAGTGAGATCTTTGCCGGCCATATTGATAATTCGTGACATTTCTCTGAGGCGATAGCATGACTTAAGATTCTCTTCCTTGTGCTGATAGCCCTCTTATTGCGGCAAGTGCTCCTTCAAAAACATACTTTGCTAATCCACTGTCATTATCATGGAGCGTATTGTTGCTGTCCATCGCTGTGGCCGAGGTTGCTGGCCTCCAAACTGTGTGGCCCTCAAACATTCAATGTCTTGCGCATACCCTTACTTATTGGTGCTTAGTAAGGAATATGGGAACATAATCCCTATGTCAATAACATATTCCCCTTATGCTCTACTGATTCCAGTAAGCTTACCACAGAGTCCCAGGCTGCAGCACTGAATGGGAGCAGTGTGTTGCTGCAAAAGTGGGACTGCCTCTCAGAAGACACAAAAGGCAAATGTAAG